ATGCGAACGATGGCTAACTCGATCTAACGTTCGTTACCTATATGAGAATCCCCCTTTCTAGAGGAATCAATATTTGTTTATCGCAAATTTGCCATTCATTCTCTTGTCTCAAGAATTATTACAACTTTCGACGGAGTTAGAACTTTCGGAAAATAATGGAATTAATTTCTGAGAATTTTTATATTGAATTATAAGATAGATAGATAGATAGATAGATAGATAGATAGATAGATAGATAGATAAATAGATAGATATAGAGAGGGAGAGAGAAAACGAGAATGAGGAAGGAAGAAAACGGAGAGGGAGAAGGGAATGTGATGGTAAGAGGATAAGAGATTATATAGCATGTACACGCGAATTGGTTCCAAGGTACGATGTAGGCACGTGTATGTATGTATATCTATGTAATACGTAGTAAGGGGTATACCTATATATCTATAGATCGTAGCTACGTAGACGTCATCGCCTCAAGTATTTCATTCATCCTAATTGGATACACGTTCGCGAGTCTTCTTGAATACCTCGCGAGTACACTCAAGCGTTCGGAATGCATTATTTGCTAAACTGTGCTTTCGGTCTGTTTAAAGTTTACGTAGTGTGCCGTTACGGCGACCAAGGTTGTAACTCTGTCTTCTCGACGCTCGAGTTAACTTCAATTAGCGAACACGTATTATTATTATCATCGCCATCATCATCATTATCATCATCATCGTTATTATTATTATTATTATTATTATTAGTATTATTATTATCGTCGAGCTTCATATATCTAATTTTTCGTTGTAATTCTTTTTTATGATCCAAAAAGAAAGAAAAAAGAAAACAAACGAACAGAAGAAAAATAATAATAAAAAAATAAAAAAAAATAAAGAGAGAGAGAGAGAGAGAGAGAGAGAGAGAGAGAAGAGAGTCTTTCGTTGCAAGTATAGAGAAGAAGCCGAAGAAGCTTAAAAAAAAAGATGAAAAAGAAAAGAAAGAAGTCGTTGATGGAAGCGGACGAGAGTTTTCTCGATGGTGATAGAGTGGTAGAGGGGGGTAGGTAGGAGTATATATATATATATATATATATATATATATATATATATATATAAGAGTAAAGGAAGCGGGGGCGGCAAGAGTTGAGGGCGATGAACGCATTCTCACCTATTTCTCGAGCGAAGGAAATACTTTGTGTTTTTAAATGAAGTTAGCCCCATGGCAAAATGGGGCGTATATGCCCGAACCAGTTCTCCCCTTCTTTATCATCCACCTTCGCCATTCTTTTCTCAACGTTCCAACATATTCCTTCTACTTCTATATACTACCTCCGTTATATCTCCGCTTAACCACCCACGATCTTCTCCACCCCAAACCGCATTCATCCACTTTGACGTACACGTTCTACTCGTACAACGTGTTTATCACTTCGACGTTAGTCCGTAGCACCAGCTCTCCTCTCTAAGCGTTGTTTCCTTATTTAGAAAGCTCCTTATGTTCCTCCGAGTGTACTTCCCGGTTATCGTCTACTATACGGAGTTTAACTTCTCTTACGTATCTGGATACATGTATGTATGTATCTATGTATGTATGTACGTACATATATACTATGTATGTAGGTATGCATGTATATAGAAAAGAATTCACTAAAATTTTATCACTTCGAATATATTTTATTTTTATATTTCTCGTTCTTTCGATATTCCTCCATTTTTATATGCAACTCTTCCCTATATAACTACTTACATCACAAAAAGAAACATCAGATTTTTTTCTTTCCGTAAATTCCATGTCAAACAAATGTAGATCCTTCTCCTTGATAAAAGAAATTCGAGAAATTCAAGTGAAAGTAGAATAATAAAAAAAAAAAAAAAAAAAAAAAGAAAGAAAAAAAAGAAATGAAAAGAAAGAAAAACCGGAAGAATAATTTAAACGGATAACATTGGTCATCCTTGTTACTTAAAAACATGGTTAAGTTGAAGGTATAAAAAGAATAAAGAGAAAGAATGAAAAAAAAAGAAAGAAAGAAAGAAAGAAAGAAAGAAAGAAAGAAAGAAAGAAAGAAAAAAAACCAGGATGAACAAACGATAGAAACAGTCCAGTGGTCGAGACTTCTACACGGCAATCAGAGTAAGGCGTGAACCATTCAAGTTGCGGCTTTTCATCGTGGTCTTGTAAAACTGTCTCTCTCTCTCTCTCTCTTTCTCTCTTTCTTTCTCTCTCTCTCTCTCTTGTTACCCTCTACGCGTTTCTATGCTCTACGTTTTAGCACTCTCTCTTTCTCTCTCTTATCGTTTGCTTCATCTGTTACATCGATCTTTCCCGTTACTGTTTGCTTCTCTTTCGTCTCTATTTTCTCTCTTTCTCTCTATCTCACACACACACACACACACACAGAGTGAGAGAGAGAGAGAGAGAGAGAGAGAGAAGGACACCAAACACATTTTCTTTGAAGCAGATACATAGGTACGTACATATGTAGACATATACATACATACACGCATACATGCATATATATATATACATACATACATGCATGCATAAAGTTTTGTCGTCACGGATTGAAAACCGCGACTTTTTGCTAACCTCATTGCGATTTCTTTTGGTAGTTCTTTTCGTGTACCGGATAGCAAAATAGGTAAAACAGAGAGTAAAGTAGATAGGTATCTAGTAGGACCATCCTTTTTTAGAATCCTACGCGGGTAGACTTGTAGAATACTCGAATGGAAACGTGGTAACGCGTTCATCTTCCTTTCGAAGGAGAAGAGCAGTAGGATTTTGAGTTTCTCCGGATTTACGAGTCTGACCCGATAACAAGAAGCGATCGAATAAATTCGAGGACGTTCCTGTTGGTTGCCGAAATGGTTGGTAGATAGGTAGGTAGGTAGGTAGGTAGGTTGGTTGGTAGGTAGGTACTGCTCGCCGAGCCAAGGATATTCCTTATCGGACGATTTCTGGACGATAGTAATCGACGTTTCCTGAACAACCTTAATTAATTCCGGGTGAATCGTCCTTTAGATATAGCCATGAACGGGCTTGATAGCGATCTACGTTCGTTTTAGTTGTACAAATGTTATATCTCTCTCTCTCTCTCTCTATCTCTCTATCTCTATCTCTCTCTCTTTGTCTGTCCCTTTCTTTATCCCTCTCTCAATCTCTATCTCTCTATCTCTATCTCTATCTATCTATCTATCTATCTATCTGTCTAGTTCTCTTGCCAGCTATCTTTCTTGCTCCAACGTACCTTTACCGATTACAATTAGGCTTGGAAATAGGCCGAGAGAGATAGAGATAAAGATAGAAAGAGAGAGAGAGAGAGAGAGAGAGAGAGAGAGAGAGAGAGAGAGAGAGAGAGAGAGAAAGGGGATATGGATTTCGAGCTGAATTCTAGCTCAAACAAATCTCGAGGCAGGAATCGAAAGTGTTGTTTTCTTATTTCTTATCGTGCCACGATTTTCAACGGTTTCCATACTTTTCCACGGCCTTCTCTATACGGCAAAAAGAAAAGAAATTTTCTTCGTCTTTTTTTTCTTCTTTTTCTTCTTCTTCTTCTTCTGCTGTTGCTGTTACTACTACCACCACTACTACTACTACTACTACTACTACTACTACTACTATTACTTCTTCTTCTTCTTCTTCTACTTCTTCTTCTTCACCATTTTTCTTTATATTTTTCTTCTTTTTCTTTTTACTCTTTTTTTTTTTCCACGTCAAAGCACAATACACAAGCGACGTCCTACTTTCCTGTCTTCTTCTTTTCATAACGCGTTTACCGTTGGCTGATGCAAAAAATAATGAGAAACAATGGGAGCAAGAAGGCAAGGAGATCCTTCAGTCTGGGAAGAATGGATCGTGACGATTTGAAACGTCAGTTTCGTCGAATTAATCGAAGGAGAATTCTAATGTATAAACTGTGGGGAAAAAGAAAGAAAGAAAGAAAGAAAGAAAGAAAGAAAGAAAGAAAGAAAGAAGGAAGGAACATTATTTCTTATAATTTTTTTTCTTTCTTTTTTTTTTTTTTCTTTAGTTTTCCTTAATCGAAGATTTGAAACTTTAATTAAGCACCAACCATCGGCGGAATACATTGGACGTAACGTAAAGAGATTCTGACCGAAAGTTGCCACTGGAGACAAGAAAACCTTGGTATTATCCAGCGATGGTATCTGTTTGCAGGATAGCTCGAATTGGAATCAGAGGGAATGGGAAGAGAGAAGGAAGGAAAAAATGGGAGAGAGGGGGAGAGAGAGAGAGAGAGAGCTTTTATCGACGCCAAAGTGATCTCGAGTCAATTGATTCGAGATTTAAATCTTGAAAGGAAGGAAAGTGGTGAAGGAAGAAAAAACTGAAGTGTGGGGACGAAGGTGGAGGGACATAGGACGAGGAGGAGAGGGATGGTGGCGAAGCGGGAACATCGGAATAGAGATTTGTAGATGAATCGCGTAACTCATTTTGCTTTTTGAAGAATCCTAGAAAATAACGTTGCTACGGGGTCTCAGTAAATTATCGAAAATTATTTTCGATCGAATTCACAAGAGAAAACTCGTCGTATAATTATACGAGATATTATCTTTTTTCTTTTTTTTTTTTTTTTCTATTTCATTTGTCTCCTTTTTTCTTTTTTTCCTTTTCTCTTTCTCTCTCTCTCTCTCTCTCTCTCTTTCTCTTTTTTAATTTTTTTTTTATTTTTCTTTTTTCTTTTTCTTTTTTTCTTTTAATTTTTTTTTAACAACGAACGAAAGTATTTTTCTTCGAGCCAGCAAAATTTTTTTAACGACTCTCCTCGAGTCGATTCGTACGACGTCAGAATTATCAGTCGTTCTTCGATTTGGAAACGAAGATAAGATTAGAGAAGGAGAGAGAGAGAGAGAGAGAGAGAGAGGAGAGAGAGAAAGGGAAAGAGACTTAAAGTCGGATTAATCCGAAGACGGATTGATAAATCAATAGAAAAGGAAATGGAGACTTATTAGCGATTACCCCTTTTCTATCTCTCTTTCTTTCTTTTCTATTTCTTCTTTTTTTTCCTGTTTTTTTTCTTTTTTTTTTTCATTTTCCTTGGTCGTTAATCAATCGTAAGCAAAGAATGAATCGTTTCCGCGTTAAACTTTTGATTAGCCAATCGATAATTTCGATGAATATTACTTACTTGACGTTGAATAATTTTATCCCTGCAATTAGAAGTTCTCTCTCTCTCTCTCTCTCTCTCTCTCTCTCTTGCTTCCTTTCTCCTCTTTGTTTACACGTGTCTTATGAAAAAAGAAAAGAAGAAACAAAAAGAAAAAAAAAAGAAAATTAATAGAGTTTCAGTGGTACTCGATTACCTTCATCTTTTTTTTTTTCGTTTCTTTTTGTTCTTTCATTCTCTTTCTAAATTAGATCGAATCTACCAGGACCATACATCGTCAAATTGAATAGGAAAGGTGAAGAGAGACAGAGATATTGAGAAAGAAAGAGAGAAAGAGAGAAAGAGAGAGAGAGAGAGAGAGAGAGAGAGAGAAATAAAGAGGTAGGTCCCGCATTAGGACTATTCCTTCACTTTACCTTAGCCCCGTTTACTCTAGTTTGTATGCATCCCTTTTCATCCTTCTACGGTTAACCATGAGTACCCAAGTTGAGGACGAACTCGACATATAATCGATTTTCAATCACACGCGACATCTTCGAACGTTGTCCCAGTTTCAAAAGCAACGGCGAACGTTGCCTAGAATCGGGATGGCGAATCGCCGTTGGTTTATCCGCTCTGAAAATCTGAATCAGTATGAAGAAGAGAGAATGAGATGAGATGGGAAAGAAAGAAAGAAAGAAAGAAAGAAAGAAAGAAAGAAAGAAAAGAAGAAAGAGAGAGAGTCTGCTGCTTTTTGGTGTAGTAGAGGGATAGGAAAAATACGAGTGCGAAATTCTAAAATTCCAATATGTCTCTCATAGCAGTCAGCCGGCGGCGGCTTCGTCGTCGTCTCAATTTCTTCGCGTGTATCCATCTCTTTCTTTCTCTGTCTGTCTGTCTCTCTCTCTCTCTCTCTCTCTCTCTCTCTCTCTCTCTCTCTCTCTCTCTCTTTCTCTCACTCTCTTTTATTCGGAAGAAGAAAAGAAGGAGTAAAGTAGAGCGTCTTAACGCATTCACGGTGAATATTTCTCACGAACTGACCACAAATTCAATTAAGCTAGTATTCGAGTTTTATTTATTTTTTTTTTTTTTACACTTGGGAATCTTTTTTTTCTTTTTTTTTTTTCTTTTTTTATTTTATTTTATAGAGAAACGGCGAACCTTCCACTTTGAAATATATACGTGTCTATGTGCTGTCTGTTGTTTGTCTATTTGTGTGGGTGCGTGCGTGCGTGCGTACGTGCGTGCGTGCCTGCGCACGCTGCCACACGCGCGCTTGTGTGCGTGTGTGTGAGAGAGAGAGAGAGAGAGAGAGAGTAGTAGGAGTAACATGCTACATACGGACCTCGGCTCGATTTATCAAACTGGAAGCCGCGAAATTTCCATACCGGCTCTCTCGATGTTCGCGGAGGCTTGCTTTCAATCCGTTCGAACGTATATTACTGGCGAGGGGTTCGGCTCATACATACATACATACATACATACATACATACATACATACACACATGCATACATGTATAGACAGATAGACACATACTTATATGCACACATATATATACATATATACATGCATACATAGATATATGTATACATGCATATGTACACACATGCATAGATTCGCATATAAACAAACAAACAAACAAACACGTACGCACCAACCTGTACATAAATGTGTTCTCTTCTACCTCTCTCTCTCTCTCTCTCTCTGGCGTGCGCGCTCGTGTATCGAGCCACTCGTCGTCTCAGTCAGTATCATATGTGTGTGTGCGTATGCGTGTGTGTGTATGTGACTGTACAAGCGATCGAGCACCGAAAACGGAAGCCCACAATGATATCATTCCGTCCAAACAAAACCAAATGTATTTTCTGCTCATTCCGCTGACGTGGCCCGTTACGTTAAATCAAGCAATCGGCTAAAGTGCATCGATATGGTTCATCGGTGTTGTATCGATCATTGAACTTTTATTCCAGCTAACAATGTGATGATTTCCACGGGTTATTACGGGTTAAAAGGTAATAGATGAAAATTGGGGCCAATCAACGTATAAGCGTTTGGAATTTTCAGATTTTCGATTACGCTGGATGGGACGAAAAGAATTGAAAAAAATAGAAACGAAAAGAATAGTAAAGAAAAAGGTAGGAAAAAAGGAAAGAAGAAATTGATAAAAAAAAAAAAAAAGAAAAAAGAAAAGTAAGACAAAAAATTAAAGAGATATGGAAGAATTACGAAATTATTTCGTATTAGTTTTATTTCATAAATACGGAAAACGTAGTTAAAAATTGAACGATTCGATTTTATCGCTTCGTTTTCTTTTCTTTTTCTTTTTTACGCCGATAATAATTCTTTATCTCTCTCTCTCTCTCTCTCTCTCTCTCTCTTTCTTTCTGTGTTTATACAATGGTATAAAAAACAGATATGAAAAAGCATTGAAATATATATAAATTTAATGAAATACAGATAAATTCGATAAATAAAAGGTCACGTCATATCCACGTATGTACTTATTCGTTCAACGTATACATACATATCTACAATAAATATATATATATATATATATATACACACATACAAGTAGATAATACCAAGTTATTTACTTAGTCGTCTTACATAGCTACATAAAATTTTTCTTTTCTTTCGCTAAGGAAGTCCAACATGGGATCCTGAAGGATAGAGCAGTTTGCGCGAGAGAGAGAAAGAGAAAGAGAAAGAGAAAGAGAGAGAGAGAGAGAGAGAAGCAAAGGAAGGATAGAAGATGTTAGAAGGCGTTGATGATACTTGAGCCATCATCCTCCTTCTTCTCCTTCTCCTTTTCGTTTTCCTCCTCCTCCTCCTCCTCCTCCTCCGTAGAGCCGTGCATCGACGCACGAAACAGATTGCTAGTGTAATTACTACACCGTACTTTACCTGATTACCGAGCGTTGGAAAACGAGATGGTAGAAGATGGCCTACGAGAGGAGGAGATCAAACGACTCGCTGATGAATTTTGAAAGTAATATAAGCCAGTTTGCGCCCTCAGGATAACGTTGATGGTGGTGGTGGTGGTGGTGGTGGTGGTGGTGATGATGGTGATACTGATGGTATTGGTGCCATTGGTACTAGTGGTGGTAATGATGATAGGAGATGAGTGGTGGGGATTGTAGGTCAAAGAGTCTCGCAATTTTCTTTTCCTGACTTTCTAGTACTTTTTCTACGTCTTATATATATGTATATGTATATCTTTTTCTCTCTTGCACGCACACTGCGTTTTCTTTTCTTTCCTTCCTCCCTCCCCTCTCTCTCTCTCTCTCTTTGGCGAAAAGACACAAAACAATGTCCACTTTGTTCGATCAGTAGGACCTCCACTTCATGTTCGAACTCTTTGCGCGAACTAAAATAAAATCGAACTAGCGGAAACACTATCGTGTCTGATGCTGGTTAATAGAGAAAGACAGAGAGAGAGAGAGAGAGAGAGAAAGAGAGAGAAGTTTGAGGTTGTGGGATGTCGGTAAAAGTAGAAGCGAGGTGGATAGTCCGTTGGAAAAGTTTATTTACGTCGCTTCTTATTCGATCGACCGATCCGAAGATGGAGGAGCAACGAGTTCAAGAGAGATCGAACGCGCAACTAGCACCAACGAGGAGAACCTCGAACGTGATGGGAAGTGGTAAAGAGAGTGGCAAAGGGGAATAGGGATGGGGGATCGTGGAGGAAGTAGAGGGTGGAAAGGGGAGGCTTGTGGGTGAGTCCGCGTACGTTACCTTCCGAAGTAAGAAATGTCATTAAAGTTTTCCACGAACGACTCGCGCGTCTATTCCCTTTCCTTTACTTCACGAATCTTCTCTCTCTCTTTCTCTCTTTCTCTCTATTTCTCTCTATCTCTCTCTTTCTTTCTCTCTTTTTTTTTTTCTTCCCTCATTCCTTTATCTTTTTTTCTCTTCCTTTTCTCTTTCTCTTTCTCTCTCTCTCTCTCTTTCTTTCTCTCTCTTTCTCTCTCTCACTTCTTTCTATCTCTTTTACCTCCATCTCTGATTATTCCTCATTCTCTGTCTGTAGTCTTAGCGCTTGGTAGTTATCTGCATTGGAAATTCACTGTCTGAGAGTGCAGAGAGGAAAGAGGAAGAAATAAGAAGAAGAAGAAGAAGAAGAAGAAGAGAAGAAGAAAGAAAAAAAATAAAGGAAAAGAAAGAGATAGAAAGGAAAAGAAAGAATGAAAGTGAGAAGAGAGAGAGAGAGAGGGAGAGAGAGAAAGGTAAGTGCGAGAGAATTTCCTCTCTCTCTCTCTCTCTCTTTCTCTCTTTCTTCTTTACTTTTTTTTTTTTTATTTTTTTGTTCCCTCTTAATTTCTTCTTCCACTTCTCACCGGTGCAGTGTGGCAGCGGTGAGTCGAACCAAGCCGAGTTCTCCTAATTGCAAGCGCTGATTGGTTATTCCAAGTGCCGTTTGCACGAGCACGAGTACGAGTGAGAGAGAGAGAGAGAGAGAGAGAGAGAGAGAGAGAGAGAGAGGGAAAGAAAGAGAGAAAGGATAGAGAAGAGAGAAAGGGAGGAGAGTAAGTAAGAGAGAGATACTTTGCTTTTGTTATCGGCTGAGACAAAGCGATACTCGAAGAAGTGTATGCAAGAGGGAAAGATATATATATATATATATATATATATATATATATATATATATATATAGTTTTATTCTTTGTTTACGTCGGAGTATTTCTCTCGCACGTAGTACGTCAACGACTTCTGAATCCGACCAAGTACTTTCTCTCTCTTTCTTTTTCTCTTTCTATCCTCTCTCTTTCATGAATATTGCACGAATCCTTGAAATTTCGTTACAAATAATTATTTCTTTGTCAGCGAATTTTAATAGCCCACGTAAAAGCGCTTTGAAATAGTCGTCAATTGGCTTTAATCGGACTAACAAAGAAGATCGGCAAGTTGGTAGCTTCCGGTTTTCTATTTCTCTTTCTCATTTTCTCTCTCTCTCTCTCTCTCTCTCTCTCTTTCTCTTTCTCTCTTTCTCTCTATCTCTTTCTCTATCTCCTTTTCTCTCTTATTTTATTTAACTTTGACCGTCTCGATGTCCATTTACGGTTGACCGACAAAAATCTTCCTTCTAAATCTTTCATGAACTAGTTTACATATATATGTACGTATGTATGCATGCATGCATGCATGTACGTATGTATGTATGCATGTATGTATGTATGTATGTATGTATGTATGTAAGTACTATATATGTCGTTCTAAAATCGATGGGATACGAAACAGATGAAATATGAACCTTGGTGGTTTTATGCTCAAATATTATTGTCTTTCTCGTTCGTGTGATCTTATTAAAGATATGTAGAAAAAATATGAAATTTTTATTAGTCTTTTTATAAATTTTTTTTAGTAGTATATTTAAGTCCGTTAGAATAATTAAAATTTTGTTCGACTTAGAACAAAGATATTCAATTTTCAATTTGAAAATCTTTTAAGAATAATAATATTGAACGTATAAAAAGTATAATTTTAAAATGTATGTACTTAGTAATGTATGTGTGTTATAAAACACACATATATATAATCTACAAATTTCTATTAAATATATATATATGTTTTTTTTTTTTTTTTTT